GGTAGCTGGGCACCATCTAGTTCTTCTGGTCTCAGGCTGATGAAGTCTCTGGTTTATGTGGCCCTTTCTGTCTCTTGGGCTAATACTTTCCTAGTGTGAAATTTTAACTTTAAATTATCAAATTGTAATTATAAACTGTAAATCATATTATGTGCCATATTACAAGATGAATGACGAAATGAAAGTTGATGGGCAATACTGAATGCTGGGGAGAAAAGAATCCCCTAAATTATAATTCATGGAGAACTAATACTAATCAAAAGAAATCTAGAAAGTTTGTATAAGATTTTTCACTGGCATCAAATATTCAAATTACAAGGAAGTGTTTTCTTCTAATTCCTCATATACATCCAATTCAAATGTTCAATTGGAAATTTGAAAATTTGAACATTCTAACAAAACATTTCTATTTAGAATGTTTTTATTAATTTTAATAACATATTTGAATAAAGATTCAGCATATTCAGGATACTTTAATCCATGTCCTATGAATTTGGTAGTCTAAGTAGTACTGTTTTCCTTTCTACTTCTTACAACACTTAATTAGAAGTGTTATTAACTTTAACGTCTTTTCACTTATAAAAAGAAAAAAAAGCCACTAAACTGACAGATTTAACTCAGCATGAAAATTTAAACTTGCTGATGTTTAGAGCAAAGGCTTTTTAAATTCTGGTATTCAGGATTTCAGTTAATCTTTCTGAAAATCACTCTGAAAATCCACACTTACACAAAACTAAATTATTATATTAATTTAATAAAATGACTCACAGTCTTTAAACATTCCTATAGCATATTTAAAATGCTATATAATTTTGTGATTTAAACAAAATTACTTAGCACATAGGTTAAAGGAGGCAAACCTATAAGTCTGATGTTTAATGGATTATTTTATTCTGCAACTCATCTTATGTTAAAAAGAAACAAACAAACAAAAACATTTATAACCATTAAGATAAATTAAGCTTAGCATTTTAGGTTTGGGAATTTATAAGATCACTTTTATATATTAAAATATTTCAAATATTACCTGTCTGTTTATCATCATAAAACCATAAAGGATATATTACCTTGCTTCTGACTTTTAATTATCCTTTCATTTGTTCTTTCACAATTTTCAAGTTTCTTTGAAGACAGCTTTTTATATTCTTTTTTTTCAATTAATTCCTTCAAAACAAAGCATACAAATTTCTAGGTATTTATGGTTCTGACAGATTCCATTAAGGAGGTATTCAGAAACTCATTTGCCATAGCTTGAGCTTTGGAAGCACTACCTAGGTATCCACTACTTCTCACGTGTCTCTTCTATTGATTTAACACTGTTTCAAGTGCTTTCATATATATCTTATTTAATTTAAATCTTACCCTGAGAGCTAAAACTTTTGTTACTATTGCCTACACTTTCACAATGAGAGACTGGGAAAATAAATATCCAACCCAAGATTTACCTACAATCCCAAAGCTAATGAAAAGCTGATACTTATAAACAGAACTCATGTCTTCTGATTTGGTCCTGAACCTTTTCAGTAGTATCATATATTCCTCTACACATCAAAGAGTACATAGTAAAAGCTTACCTGGTTAGATAAGTCATATTTCCCTCCATTTTGAATAGTATTATTTATTTGGTCATCTGGGAGCTTTAATGGTAGTTTATTTTCGCGATTACTATGGCAAACGTTTAATTCTGTAGCTCCTAGCAACATACTGCACTTATTATTCTTCAATTCTATGAGTACAAAGATGGAGATTTCTGTAAATTACATAAAAGGTAAACTGCCTTTCCACATTAAAGAATTCACTTTGAAATAATCTGTCTATATCCAATTTGTCACAAAGATTTGTTATAATCTGAATATGATATGAAACAACTTCATTTGGTCAGAATCATTCTGCATAGGGTCAAATTTTGTTCAAATGACTTGTATTCTCTTCCAAAAAATAAAGAAAAACTGGACAGCTATATTATTCATAACTATCTGTTTTGGATTTCCTCGGTCAGATCTAAAGACAGAATAGTAAAGTTAGCCCTCTTTGTAACTACATATTCCTATTCATCCTAACTGCACATCAATAATAGAAAGGTAATAGCTCTAACTTTGTTTCCTTCATATGTCTTCATGTATAAGGAATTCTTATGTTTCGGTTAGTTTGTGTATTTCAATATATAACTAAATTTGTGTTAATTAAAATTGTGTACAAAACCAAATCGTATAGAATATAATTCATTTTCAACAAATGGTTATTGGGCTGAAATTCTAGTTAAGTTAAAAAGGACTCATAACTGTAAAAATGTTTTTGTTATTTTTCTATAAGTTGTACTTGAAGATGCACTATGGATGGTCCCTACTCTTGAGAATATTACAATATAGTGGAGGAGGATGGTATTATAATAGATCCTTTATAATATATTCTGCTAAGTGGAATAACAGATAAAACACTTCAGGAGCAATACTATGATATGCAGATTATAGTACTAATACAGAAAACCACATTTTATGTAAGTCATTAAAACACACACACAAACACAATCACAACAAATTATCATGGGCTGCCACTTTGAATAATCTTAGTGGTTTAGTGTTAGCTGTGGTTTTGTGTTATTTTATAGTTGTTTTCTCATGGAAAGTGTAATGATAATAACTACCATCACCACCACCACCCAAAATAACTTTGTGATATGAAGCTACTCAAAATCTAACAATTTCACAAAAAACAGATTCAATGAATCAAACTAGAATAATACAACCATAACAGAACACAGTAATATCTGCCACTAAACTGAACTTCCCAAGGGGAGGCATCACATCTTATTCATCTAAGTTCCCAACACCTAACACAGATGCTAACACCTATCATGGAAGGTGCTTTAATCCTTTCATGACCATTGGAATATACGGTTGCCCACCCACATTTTTCTGCCTCTCTGATTCATTGGGAAGCTGCTTTCCCACTGACAGTGCATGCTGCTGCAAGGCAGGGGCCTTTATGACTGTTGGAAAGAGAAAAAACAGGTGTGTGCCACAAATTACTGTTTCTACAGGGTGTTACATGAGGCGTGTGCATTTTTGTTCGGAAACAAATTTTGAAAAATTTTCTTTGGGACACCATGTGTCCCCTGGAACTCTGGGGGGGTGCCTGGGGTAGAATTAGTGGGACAATGTATGTCCCTTGGGCCTCTGAAGATAGTTATGTTGGTAAGGGCCAAAAAAAAAAAAAAAAAAAAAAAAATTCTTCCTACCTACCAAAAATTCAACAATGCTCAATGATTTAGCATGCTTCCATTAATGAAAACACATGGAATCAACAAAAAATTCAAAGCAGAAAATAGTTAGGTCTTGAAAGGTTAAGTTTGTTGTATGATTTTCCTGTCGACACAGGTGGCATGTAAAATAATTTACCAAACTTTAGTTTTTTAAATTTGTATTCTACCCCACTTGCCACTTGTTTTCTCAAACACTTCACAAACAGTATTCACAATTAAGCTTAAATTCCTGGAAAGTGCTGCTCTAAGTAAGAGAAAAGAGGGAAAAAGAGACGATGCGATCTAATACTAAAGACTCAAGTTTAACAAATGATCGAAAGTGAGATATACTTTTAGAGGTATTTTTTATTTAGAAGTAAATAACAGGTGCTGCAGTACCGGGATGGTCTAGCAATGACAATAAGCAATATGCCTAATTTAGAGGAAATAGAATGACTTTTGATAAAATGAGAAAGGACTGAGAAGAACTGGGGCAATGGTAAGAAGTTAATTTTTACTACCTCTGGGCAAGCAGTCACCTACATATTTAATTGACCCCTTTCTCTAGAAAGCATAAGCAAAGTATCAAGGGAGGACGTTGGAAAGGGGAGAGTTTATAGGGAGATATGGAAGTAGATTTACATTCAGTATGGTACTTTGTTTTTGGCAGAAGCAATCCTAAACTCTTGAAGTTCTGTAAAGCTCATAGTTACAAAGTCAAGGTAAAATCGGCAGAAATTTATACAAGAGTCTTTAACTTTTACTGATCTGTATTATCTAGAAAGGGCTGTAATTAACTTCATAGTTTTTTTCAAGGGTGGGGTAGAATGTGAGGCAGATTATAGTGTGACAATTGCAAAGAATTGGCACAGAAAACAGTGCTGCCAGCTTTCTTTACAGCAATGGCCATTCAAAAGGAGTATGTCAGTTGTTGTAAGTCCTCCATGAAAGGGAACGGGTTTTGTCTTTTAGTAGAAATGAAATTTAGTACAAAAATATAGGCATCTTTAATATAGGCTTAGGTCTAGGAAATGGAAAGAACAGTCATATTTCATCGATATGTTTATCAATGCTCTTTGGTGTTTTTATGAATCAAAAGATGATATTTAATGAAGTAAGCTGAATGCTGACCATGAGCAGTGTGCACTGTATTTTCTCTTCCTTTATTATTAAAAAAGCAGGAATTTTAGGTCAGTATAAGTCAAAGAACACAATATTATATACATTATAAATAATAAATAGAGCACATGTAAGAATTTACTACTACACCAACAGAAAAAAAAAGAGCAAACATACCCAAGTTATCACAATCAAGGTCATAAGTGATGCTGCCTCTTTGGAGGACATCTGTTTGGTTTTCTCCTGCATTATTTTTCAACGATTTGGGTATGTTAGGGACAGATCTTCCAGTTTTCTGTTTTTTTCTGGTCTTTTTTCCTTTCTTTTCACAAGTCCTAAAAACAATTACACTATTTTTCCTCTAGCATTGGTTCTCAAAAACAAAACAAAAAACTAAACCCACAAATCAACAAATGAAGCCTCCTGGGATAAAGGCTCCCTCCCCACCAACCCCCAGCAATGATTACTCTTAATTTTACATTATTCAATTCTTTATAGCTACCACAACCCCCTACCCTGTCTCAGTAAAAGACTCAAGTATAAAGTCTTAAGCCAAACAACTCAAATATAACCTCTTTAAGTGCTTCCTACTCTATGTTCCTGTAATTCCTACTTAAGCTGATATTATAAGTCAGGAGTCAGAAAACTATGCAATAAATCTTGCTGGTCACCTGTTTTTGTAAATAAAGTTTTATTGGAACCCAGCCATGCTCACGCATTTATGTATTGTCTATGGCTGCTTTCCCACTACAAAGGCAGAGTTGAATAGTTGCAACAGAGGCAGTATAATATTTACAGACAGAGGCCCACAAAAATACTTACTATCTAGCCCTTTACAGAAAAAACTTGCCAACTTCTATTTATAAGCTATTACACTGCACTGTGATTAGTTAACTTACATCTTGTATCCCTTATAAGATCCTTAAGGGTAAGAATCAATCAATTCTTTGTTTCCCCAGTGCCAACCCCTGTGTCTGTCAACTAGCTGACTCTCAATAATTACTGAGAGAATGAATTAATGAAAAAATGTCTAAGAACTTTAGTGTTTAACAGCTACACGTCACTTGAAGGATAGGTGATTAAGGATGACCCCCTGAAATATGTCAAAGTTTTTATTTTCTTTTAAAATTTTATTCCATATGGCAGAATTTCTAGTAAAATTTCATTGCCTTCTGAAAGTCTTTTAAGGTCAAAGAGAGCTTCAAAACTGGCATTTCTAAAACAAAAATTTAAACCACTTTACATTGGTTACATAGTATGTACATATGTAAAAAGTTCATTGAATTGTATACTTAAAATGTGTGTGTTTTATTGAATGTAAATTATACAAGAAAGTTAAAAAAACATTTTACCTTAATTGTTCTAGAAAATTTTCAATATGTTCTTTCCAATTTTTTGGAAATCCATACATAAACTTTCTTATGATATAGTTTGGATATCCTGCTTATCAATGGGGGAAAAAAAAAACAGACATGAGATATCATTAATTCATTATATCATTCAAGAAATATGTACTTACTACATACTGTGTGCCAGGCACTGTCATAGATACTAAGGATTCAGCAGTTAACAAAAGAGATAAAAAATTCCTATACTCATGGAACCTGCTTTCTAGTGTAAAACAGAAAGTAAACCAAAGCAAAATATCTTGTTTTTTAGATGGTCATCAATGCTATGGAGAAAAATTATGTAAGGAAGGAGGATAGGGATACCAATGTGTTCAGGTGGGGAAGTGGGAATAGGATGTGAAGCAATTTTAAAAACGATGGCTAGTGAGGATTTTCTCACTGCCATCGAGCCACTTGAGTTAATTCCTGAATGACATGAGAGCCTTATGGCAACCTGGAATTAGAATACTAGAAGCAGATGGAACAGCAAGTGAAAGGGCATGAAGCAAGAGTGTGCCTGGCATGTTTGGAGAATAAGAAGATCAGTGTAGCTGAAGTAGAGTGAGGAGAGGCTCGTACTAGGAGGCTACTCACACAGGTAATGGAGGCACTGGGGGAGCATTAAAGAGTATGTGAGGCCTTGAGGTCATTATAGTGACTTGGCCTTTTACTTTGGGTGAGGTGGGAAGCTATGGAAAGATTCTCAGCAAGATCACAGAATCTGACTTACATTTAACAGGACTGTACTAATTGCCATTTTGAGTAGAATCTGTCAAAGTGCAAGGGGAAGAACAATGAGACCAGTTAGGAGGCTACTGCAATGATCCAGACAAAAGATAACGGAGGTTTGGACCACAGTGGTGCAGTGGAGGTATACATTCTAGATGTATTTTGGAGATAATGCCAATAGGATGTACTGACACATTAGATCTGGGTGTAAGAGAAACTGAGGATTTAAGGATGACTCCAAGTATTTTGGCAAGCCACTGGAAGCATGGGAAAATGGAGAAGACAGTAAAGTAAGCAGATTTAAGGCAGAAGATTAGGTTTTAGACATGTAAGTGTGAGATTCCTATAGACATCCTACCAGAAATGCCAAATAGGCAGATGGAAAATGAGTCAGGTGTTCGGGGAGAAAACTTGGCTGGAGATATAAATTTGGCAGTTATCATCATATAGATGATATTTAAAGCCTAAAAGAAATCAGCATAACACTGAGTATAGAAAGAACCCTCCAGCCTACCCTGTTATTTAGAGGTAAAGAAAGAAAGAAATAACTAAGACGGCACAAGCAGTGAGGTAGCAGGAAAATCAGAAATACGGTATTTCAGAGGTCAAGTAAAGAAAGTGTTTCAAAGAGGTAAATGTCATTAACTGTGTCAAGTATACACTGGATTTAGCAATGTAGAGGTCACTGGTGACTTTGTTTCATTGTCTTTATCGACGAAAAAAAAGTCACAGTATTTCAGACTTTATTCAAACACATGGATGGCAGCAAAGGGCACCGAGCGACAGGTACGGCACCTAACGCTGGGTCAAAGGCCATGCTGGAAGGACGGTATGCTTGCACCCTACACCCTCAGCAGCTCTAGCCCTCCCCCTCACACCTCGCTGACACCCTGAGATCAGTTACAAAGGTGCAGAAACGAAATTACTTCAGAGTAGGTAGGGCTCCACCTCACTGCCAAGGAAAAGGATCAGGTTCTAAGGAAAGGGAAGCTGTACTACTTGTCGCTTGAATGCCTTCCAACCTGAGGGGCTCATCTTCCGGCACTGTACCAGACAATGTTCTGCTGCTATTCATAAGGTCTTCACTGGCCAGTGTTTTCAGATATAGACCACCAGGTCCTTCTTCCTTGTCTGTCTTAGTCTGGAAACTCCATTAAAACCTGTCTACCATGGGTGACACTGCTGATATTTAAAATACTGGTGGCATAACTTCCAGCATCACAGCAACACACAAGCCACCACCACAATATGACAAATTGATGGATAAGTGGTGGCGATAGGAAGAAATGATGAAGTAAAAGGGGTGAACAGAAGATTTCAAAGGGTGGCTTGAGAAGACCAAGTAAAGTATTATAAAGAAATGTGCAAAGACCTGGAGTTTGCAAATCAAAAGGGAAGAACACATTCAGCATTTTTCAAGCTGAAAGAACTGAAGAAAAAATTCAAGCCTCGAGTAGCAATACTGAAGGATTCCAAGGGAAAAAAACTGAACAATGCAGGAAGCAGCAAAAGAAGATGGAAGGAATACAGAGTCACTGTACCAAAAAGAACCAGTCAATGTTTAACCATTTCCGGAAGTAGCATATGATCAAGAACCGATGGTACTGAAGGAAGAAGTTCAAGCTGACAGAAGGCATTGGTGAAAAACAAGGCTCTAGGAGTTGACGGAATACCAATTGAGATGTTTCAACAAACAGACGCAGTGCTGGAGGTGCTCACTTGTCTATGCCAAGAAATCTGGAGGACAGTTGCTTGACCAACTGACTGGAAGAGATCCATATTTGTGCCCACTGCAAAGAAAGGTGATCCAACAGAATGCTGAAATTATCGAACAATATCATTAATATCACATAGAAGTGAAATTATGCTGAAAATCATTCAAAAGTGTTTGTAGCAGTACATCAACAGGGAATTGCCAGAAATTCAAGCTGGATTCAGAAGAGGACATGGAATAAGGGATATCATTGCTGATGTCAGACGGATGTGGGCTTTAAAGAGAATACCAGAAATAGGTTTACCTGTGTTTTATTGACTAGGAAAAGGCATTTGACTGTGTGGATCATAACAAATTATGGGTAACATTGTGAAGAATGAGAATTCCAGAACACTTAATTGTGCTCATGTGGAACCTGTACACAGACAAAGAGGCGGTCATTCGAACACAACTAGGGGATACTGCGTGGTTTAAAGTCAGGATAGGTGTGTGTCAGGGCTGTATGCTTTCACCATTCTTATTCAATCTGTATGCTGAGCAAATAATTTGAGAAGCTGGGCTATATGAAGAAGAATGGGGCATCAGTATTGGGGGAGGACCCATTAACAACCTGCGATACGCAGATGACACAAACTTTCTTGCTGAAAGCAGAGGACTTGAAGCACTTACTGATGAAGATCAAAGACTACAGTCTTCAGGATGGATTACACCTCAACATAAAAAAAAAAAAAAACAAACACAAAAATCCTCACAAATGGACCAATAAGCAACTTTATGATAAACAGAGAAAAGATTGAAGTTGTCAAAGATTTCATTTTACTTGGATCCACAATCAACGCCCATGGAAGCAGCAGTCAAGAAATCAAACAACACATTGCATTGGGCAAATCTGCTGCAAAAGACCTTGTGCAAAAGCAAGGATGTCACTTTGAGGACTAAGGTGCACCTGACCCAAGCCATGGTATTTTCAATCGCCTCTTATGCATGCAAGAGTTGGACAGCTAATAAGGAAGACTGAAGATGGATAAACGCCTTTGAATTATGGGGCTGGCAGAGAATATTGAATAATACCATCGACTGCCAGAAGAACAAACATACCTGTCTTGGAAGAAGTACAGCCAGAATGCTTCTTAGAAGCAAAGATGATGAGACTTTGTCTCATGTACCTTGGAGATGTTATCAGGAAAGACCAATCCCTAGAGAAGGACATCATGCTTGGTAAAGGGTCAGTGAAAAAGAGGAAGACCCTCAATGAGATGGACTGACACAATGGCTGCAACAATGGGCTCAAGTATAACAACAATTGTGAGGATGGCACAGAAGCAGGCAGTGTTTTGTTCTGTTGTACACAGGGTTGCTGTTATGGATTGAATTGTGTCCCTCAAAAATGTATGTCAACTTGGCTAGGCCATGATTCCCAATATTGTGTGACTGTCCACCATTTTGTCATCTGATGTGATTTTCCCATGTGTTGTAAATCCTACCTCTATGATGTTAATGAGGCAGGATTAGAGGCAGTTATGTTTATGAGACAGGACTCAATCTACAAGTTTAGACTGTATCTTGAGTCAATCTCTTTTGAGATATAAAAGAGGAAAGCGAGCAGAGAGACAGGGGGACCTCATACCACCAAAAAACAAGAGCCAGGAGAATAGTGCGTCCTTTGGACCTGGGGTCCCTGCGCTGAGAAGCTTCTAGACAAGGGGAAGATTGATGGCAAGGAATTTCCCCCAGAACCAACAGAGGGAGAAAGCCTTCCCCTGGAGCTGGCACCCTGAGTTTGGACTTCTAGCCTCCTAGAGTATAGGAGAATAAACTTCTCTTTGTTAAAGCCATCCACTTGTGGTATTTCTGTTACAGCAGCACTAGATAACTAAGACAGTTGCTGTGAGTTGGAAGTGTCTCAGTGGCACCTAAGAGCAACAACAATCATCTCTTTGCACAGATGTAGTCAATTTAATGCCATCTGGCAACGTCCATGTGCATAATCACCATTCATGTTGTTTAAAAAGGATTTCTGATGACTACGTCATTGGTCTTGCAAAATTCTATCTTCTAACTTCTCTGATTACAAAAAATTTCAGGTGAAATACTCCTTATTTATGAGGAATAAGGAGTATTTCACCTGAAATTTTTTGTAATCAGAGAAGTTATTTAAACTACCAATTAAAAAAAAAAAAAACCCATTGCCATTGAGTTGATTCTCATTCAGTGCCCCCATAGGACACAAGAGAACTGGCCCATAGGGTTTCCAACCCTGTACCTTTATGGAAGCAGACTGTCACATCTTTCTCCCATGGAGCAGCTGGTGGGTTTGAACTGCTGACCTTTTGGTTAGCAGCCGAGCGCTTAACTGCTGTGCCACCAGGGCTCCTAAACCATCAATAGTAATGATTAAATCAGAGAAAAATAATCATAGCTTTATATAATGTGGTCAATTCTGTTTTAATTGTTATTTTTGGTTGAGTCATAATTTTAAAACACCTAATTAAAAAGTAAAAAATATATATACTATTAGAAACATGGTTAATTGCTTCACATATTAAAAAAAAAAAATCTATTAATTATGACAGTTATTACCTGCTTCTTTCATGGAAATCCGGTCTATCATTCCTTTTAATACATAAATGTTGCCTGATAAAGTCCTAAGTTTGTTGTACTCAATACGTTCTATAATTATATTACTGTGCCAATATATATCACTGACATCTCTAGGAGAAAAAAATACTTAGTTAAGGCCAAAATATTCACATTTTACCATCAGTCACAAGGTATATATAAAAGTATACAAATTTATAATAGAAAATCATAAGTTTGCACTCTAGCTAAACTAACAATTAAACTAATTACAAAATACTTGAGGGCAAAAGACTGCAGCAGAACTCAAACTGCTTGGCCGGTGTGACACTCAGAGTATGCGCCAAGAAATTATACTGTTGTATACTGTATACTGTATAATTATAACATGTGCCTACTATAAAATATATCATTAACTTGGAAATGGGCCTCCTCTAAATATCTGATGTTAATGATGCTTGCAATTCCAGCTTACCTAATGTAAAGCTGCCAAATAATTATTTCCCTGTCCCTCTCCTCAGGGGGCTATCACGTGTTAGCTTTCATGCAATTATGTAGTTGCAGCCATCTAACCTTGTGTTTTTTTACCCTGACTATTCCGCCAAATGTTTTTAGCTTCCATTTTGGGAAGTACCAAAAAGATGTTCCGGGGGAAAAAACAAACCAGCAGCATTATCAAGTCACTGATTCATAAATCTACTCTTTATATTTCTTTAACTGAAGCTAAGAAAAACTATGAAATAGAAAGAACAAAACATGAAGATTTATTAGATAAATGTTGAATAATCTCTCATTCATCAGATAACTAATAATAATAAACCCACTAAGTACAAGCATAATAATTAAGAACCAAAACCCATTGCCGTCAATTCCAACTCATAGAGACTTTACAGGACAGAGCAGAACTGCCCTATAGCACTTTTCTAAGTCTTATAAATATTAACTCAATTCAATCCTCAAAACAACTCATAATGTAGGTAATATTATCACCATTGTACAGATGAGGAAACTGAGACTGAAAGTGGATAAGTGACTTGCCCAAGTCATTCCAGCTAGTAAGCAGCAGCAATGGGAACTGAACTAAGCTAATCTACACTGCCTCTTGGATTTTAAGGAAATGAGTATCAGCCAGGCAGAAACAGTGGGCACCATGGATTTTATATATTCAACTTACACACTTCCAAGTGAGTACCTTGAACAGTGATAGCCTATATGATTTTCTTACAACCTATTACTCCAAAATTTTTTACCACTATGAAATTGGTTTTGAAAAGTTGGAAGCAGTGCTTAATAAAATAGCAGATCTAGGCAAGACCCACTTACCTGATGATGCTCTCACTTAGGAAGAATGAGAAAGTGCACCAATGATTACTTAACATGTAGTTGTATGGAAACGTTCTAAAGTAATTTTGATTCCTTTTCTGGATCAGTAATTTATATCTAGTTGTTCCAATTCAGATGGGAGAATCTGGACTGAAATCCATGTAGTAAATATTAACTGGTCATATATAATTAAGCAGATAATATCAGCCCACTTTCTAGCACCTTTGAAAAGAATAAAATACTATACAAATGTGAGCTGTCACTATTTTAAAAATAGCTTAAATAAACAGGCAAAAGCAAGAAGGCTGGTAACAACATGGTCAGGATCTGCACTGTTATTTTACTTTTTTGTGCCTTCAGTTAATAACTTCTTTAGGAAGTCTTTATTTTGTGGGGAGATGCTGTTTCCCATCCATCTTTTAAGCTCTTATAAACAACTGTTTTATTTTACTATAGGTTTTATTTAAAAAAAAATTGAAATGTTATACTTACATTAATTTTCCTTCTACACATATAGCAGTGTTATCATTGATGATTTTAATCATCCATTCCTGTAGTTGGACTACCTAATCAAGCACAAAACAAAGTACATATTTTCTGTATTACTTATAGCATAAGCATTACAAAATTAATTTACATAAAAAAGTTCATGTAAGTAACCCAAATGATTCCTTAGTACCCATCTGTATAAGGATCACATTCTATTTTCAATAGCAATAAAGTAAAACTCTTGTTTAAAACGAAACAGAAAAGATGAAGGGAGAAAAAGACTAAAGTGACATTGTACTGCACAGTGTTACAATTCACAAGCAATCATACTTCAAATATTCTTATATCAAATATCTCAAACACAAGAAAAACAATCACCTAAAGTCCCAAGGTATTCATTAAAACACCAAGTCCCACAAAAGACCTAATAACCTGGAAAAAAAGTCAGTTATATACATTTCACTATCATTTTTGTCCCTAAAAAGTCAGAGCATTTTTTTCCCTTTTGTATTGCAAAGCAGATTTGAAGTTTCATTTCAATTTCTATAAACTATAAAGGTGATCACTAGTAGCCTATACTTAACAACATTCTACTCCAAAGCAAACATCTGAATAGCTCGTAGAATATTTTAGTACACATAAGATTCCATTATAAAGGAAAAATTCTGTGAACATCTGTGTAAAAAAATTGTCTGTATTTCATAACAACTTAACATTGAACTACTTCTGATGAGAAATAAAACCAAAATTCACAGAATGAACTGAATGGCCATTTACATGTAAAATTATAAATTTACATGTAGACAAATTCTCCAGTTTTATACCGACTATGGAAAAGTTGCTAAAATGAGCGGGCGTTCTTTGTTACTGCATTTCTCCTCAATTATGTTCATTTAAGAAAATTAGAGGTAGGATTTGGGAAGAGGGCAAAGTAACATTCTTTTTTCTCTTCTACTTCCACATTTGGAACTATCTGAGATGGATCAAAGAATCAGTCAGATGGAGATGGTATTAAATAGCTAACACTAAGGCAATGTTCCAAGCAACTGAGAGTCACCAACTCATGTTATCCTCATAATGACACTAGGAGGAAGGTACTCTTATTTTCATTTTATAAAGAAACTCTGTAAAGTCTAGTTAGATAACTTGCCCATGTCACACACAGTTAGTTGGTGGCATACACAGGTTATAAACCTGGGAATTCTGGATCTATGACCCCTTTACCATACTGTTTATGTATGAAAATGTTCACTCATTATTCATTCAACAAATATTCGTTGAGCTCTACTACCTGCCAAGCACTATTGCAGGCAGTGAAGATTCAGTGAGAAACCAAACCAAACAGCTGCCCTCCTAGAGCAAACATTTTAATGTGCCTGTTGCAGGTGGCAGCGAGTGGGGAGGTAGGGGAGTATCCTAACAAATAAAAAAAAGTCAGGCAGTGATAATACTATAAAAATAATATAAGGTGTTAGATAACTAAGGGTGCTTTTTTAGGTAGGACAGTCAGGGAAGGTCTCAGAACAGAGAACTGAATGAAGTGAGGAATGAGTGAGTAGATTCTCCCAGGCAGAGGAAACAAGTGTGAAGGCTCTAAGTAGATAGCATGCAGGGCATGTTAGCTTGAAAGGAGTAAGCAAGATGAATGATAAAAGGTAAAATTGGAGATCTCCAGGGACTGAATTATGTAGAGTCCTGCAAAACGTGGTAAAAGCTCATTTTTTTTTTCTTGAGATAGGAAGTTATTAGATTATTTTGAGCAGGGGAGTGACATGATTTAATATTTTAAGGGGCTGCTGGGTAGAGAATGGACTATATATATATAAAGATTATATATTCTGTCTGGAAAACAGACAGAAGTCGGGAGTGGGTGGGACAGGCAACAGTGGAAGCAGGAAGACCACTAGGCTATTGTAGTAATCCAAGAGATTACCGTGACTCAGACAAGGAGGTGGTGGTTAAGCAGTGAGAAGTGGTCATTAGAGCCAACAGGATTTCTATATAGTTTGTGGAGTATGAGAGAAAAACAAGAGTCCAAGATAAATCTAAGATTTTTGCCTAAGTACTTGGGGGGATGGAATTACTATTTACTGATATTAGAGCTGATAAACACCACTGATACAGGACACAATGAAGGCTTATGGGGAAAACAATCAAGACTTTAGTTTTTAACATGTTACATTTGAGATGCCTATCAGATATCAATGGAGAAGTCATGTAGACAATCGCATATATGAGTGTGGTGTTTAGGAGAGTGTTCTGTGCTGAAGATATATATTTGGGAGCTATCTGCATAGAGATGAAATTTAAAGCTATGGTACTGGGTGACATAGTCTAGATAGTGTAGGTAAAGAAAACATTTCTAGGACTAATTCCTGGAGAATTCCAACATTATAGGTTCGGTAGAAAAAGAGGAAGCAGGGAAGGGGGCTGAGAAGGGATGGCCAGTGGGGTAGTAGAAAATGAAAAGAGAGAGATATCTTGGAGTCCAAGAGAAAAAACAATGGAATGTTTTGAGAAGGAACGAATGGTTCACTGTGTCAAACCTTAGTGAGAGACTGAGTAAAGAATTAGAATTGGATCTGGTGATACAGAGATCATTGGTGCACTTGAAAAGAACAATTTTCATAAAGTAGTGAATATGAATATCCAAAGCGGAACATGTTAAAGAATGGGAGGAGAAAAAATTAAAACCGTTAATGCATATACCCTCTCTCAAGCTGTTTTGCTGTAATGGAAACAAAAAAATGGGATGGTAGCAGAGAGGGATATGGGATAAAGAGAAGGTGGGCTTTTTTATTTACCTTTTTTTAAAAAAACGTAGGTCATGTTTCAACCTGTTTATATGCTAATGAGAATGATCCAGAGAAGATGAAAAATTGAGGGGATAATTGCAGGGCAAAGTTCTTAAAGTAGTAAGAAGAAATGAACTGGCCTCAAAAAGGGACACAAATTGTTCATCCATTTTAATGGAAGGGAAACCAGAGTATGTGGATACAGCCACAGGTAGGTTGGTAGATTTGATGATGGGAATATGAGGTTCTCAGTGAATTGAAAATGAGGAGGAGGGAAGAGGTTTGGAGGTTTTAGGGGAGAAAGCATAAGGTACTCTTCTAGAAAAGTCAGTGTGAATTGATAAGTGAAATGTAGCAGGACTGACTGACAATAATGAGAGCCCACTCATGGTTTGTCATATTTAAAATGAGACCAGTCAGCATGGTTGTGTGTTTTGTTTTAGCTCTCTTCAGCTTCTCAGGTATAGGTATGCAGCAAGAAGAGTTAAATTTAACCAGGGTTAGGATTTTGCCAAGGGAGAACAGAAGGAAAAACAATAGAGAGAGTTGAGAGTTTAGTCAAAGGAATGATTATAATGATATACCAAGGAATCTATGTGGCAGAAAGAGGGAAATAATGACAAGAGAGGGTTGATGGATTTAAGGCTGTTTTAGTGGGGTCAGAGGACTGATGATGCAGGAGAGGGGTCGGGGAAGAGTGCTAGAGAGAATGATCTGGAAAGATAGGAGCTAGCAGTGAGAGTAAGTATGATGCTTGAAAGTGAGAATTTGGTGCATCTACTGGCAATGACAAGCTATGGGGGTATGATGATGGTAGAGGGTGAAGACAGGAAAGGTCACTGAAGATCAAGAAGTCAAAGGGGTTGGATGGATCATCTACATGGATGCTGATGTCACCAGAGATGATGACAGAAGTAGTAGTAGAAGAAACAGTAACAGGTGTCAAACATAACAACAAGGATGCAAGGTTGTGAGCAGGAGGTTGTACTGTAGATAATTTTAACAATAGGGGGCAAGGAGAGGTTAAGTTTTATAACATGTGCTTCAAAGAAGCTGGGAGGGGAGCTGGGTGACTTTAGAGAGGATGTAGGAAAACAGCCTGAAGTAGCAATGAGGCGCAAGACAGATACACCTTATATATCATCTCCACATCCAATGGAATGTGGGATATGGGAGAGAAAACAGTCACCACTTGAGAAGGCTGTTTGTAGAAGTCTTACTTTAGTTAGACCAAGACTCACAGAATATTTACCGAAGATTGAGAACAGATCATTTTGCTGATGATATACCTTGAGTTCAGGAGGGCACAATATAAGGTGTGGAGAGTTGGGGATGAGTGAGAGATTGGGTCACAACTAAGGGATATATGGAACTGTATGGAGATAAGTCGTAGGAAGCTTGGAATTCTTGTGGTAACTGACATAAAAAGCACTGTAGAGATGATGGAATCAGTACTGTGGGGTCTCTGAGAACAGTTCTCTTCAAACTTTTTTGCTCAATCCACCCGCAAGAAGAATTGTGAAAAACTATGCAGCCTCTCACACATTTCTAAGTCAATATCTTAAACTTTTCATCATAAGTTTAAATATTTGCAAAAAGTGTAATTTCCAATAAACACATTGAGATATCACCTAGATGAAGATGGTGCAGGACAAAGCAACATTCTGTTATTCATAATGTCACCATGAGTTGGAGCTGACTCGAGGGAAACTGGTAACATAGTTTGATATTCTAAAGTCTTTTATTGATCACCCTATCTTACTTTTTGAGCAATATATATACACACACACACACACACACACACTGCCATTTAGGCCTTTCTTTTCACAAAGTGTTTTATATATATATATATATATATATATAAATAAATATATATATATACACACACACACACACACACATATATATCTGTAACTTTAAAAAATTTCTCCTAGTTATAAGGCTCTAAATGTTTAAAAATTCTTCTGTATTATCATTACAATTATTAACCGTATATAACTGATCATGTATTAATATTTTACAAATTTTGATACTTATTGAGCATAAAAAGTAAAATTTTATTGGAAATGTATTTCTTAATGAATGGTATTTTTTTAAATTCATGTATTTGTGAGTAAATATTACTCACTGCCAAAGTGAGAGAGTTTCAGCATCAATCCTATTTCTATTTTTCATGTTATAGATGAGAATATAAAATATAGCAAGCACTGAGAATCCTTGGTCACATCAATAAGCAGATAAGAATGGAAAAATTTTTTTATTGCAGCATCATTCAATTATCTGCACTCCTACCTTGTATGCCAAAAATATCACACAGATCTACTACCATGAATTATTAGATCTTTCAAATTTTCCGAAAGTAAAGAATTGGAAGCCATTTGATTCATAAAGAGTTTGTTATCTAACCATAAGTCATTAATTTTTTTAACACACCAGTATATCTCCTCTTGTTTGATGCCTCCTAGGTTTTTATACATTTAGGCAGGTGTCAGCCAACTTTTTTTGTAAAGGGCCAGACAGTAAACATTTTAGGTTTTGAGGGCCATATGGTCTCTGTTGCAATCCCTCAATTCTGCTGTTGTAGCATGAAAATGACAATACGTAAATGAATGGATGTGGTTGTATCCCAATAAAATTTTATTTACAAAAACTGACAATACTTTAGGAAGATGTACCAGAATAATTCCGAATGGGTGAGAAGATTTATAAAGGAGAAGAGCAGATTGTGAAAGGAAAGGCCTAATTGACAGGTATGTTTTTAGGAAAGAGTACGTAAGTTGAGGATTAAGAAATTCCCTTAAAACTGTACGTGCCCACTATACTCCTTGGAAAGGCTAAAAGTCCAAACTAAGCATTCTTAAAGGAATGCAATGCTCCATTTTGAAGGCTACAGTCTTAGAGGGTAGCAAATGATCAGTTCTATTTATACATTCCTTCTTAAATTTTTAATGGTAATCTGGGAAGTGTTGGGGAATGGGAGGGCGGGCAAAGGTGGGAAGAAAAAGATTAACCTGGAGCAGAGGGGCTCTATGCGCCCCCCTCATCCCCCATCCCCACTAACACATAAACATCAAATTCTATGAAGCAGTATTTCAAATTATGACCATGACTGATAAAAATATTCTATATTAGAGTCTAGTACACACATACATATATAACTGAAACAAAATTTTCACAAAACAATGCTTACCCTTAATACATGCATTCTGTTCTAATACTTTCCACTGTATTCCATTTTATTTATTTTTTAAATGCTAGTTATGACCCACTAAACCAATACAATAACCCATTCAAGGGTTGCTATATACAGTTTAAAACAATGCTGAAGAAAATGTTTGGAAGAGACAGTATTAAAACTGATGTCAAAACCAGCAAAGGCATTATAATAATGATAAAAGCTGGTTTAAAGACTATAGAAGAGATATGTGGCCAAAATGGACTCTGTAAAATTCCTTCTTAATCTGAATTGACTCCCAAAACTGTAGGCTATCCTCTTACAGGGGAAGAGCCTAGCTAAATAATTTAGCTTACTGTACATATGAGTAAGTAAACCAGTATATACCCTATCAGACCAAAGAGAAGCCCAGAGAGGCTGAGTTTGCTCAATTCCTTCTCTCAAATTTGACAATTCACTTTACCAACTGGAAAAAGTGACTGAGGGGATCTGGGAAAGGTCTCAAGTGTAATTCTAGCAGGAATTTCCACATGGAAATACAAGAGGGAGCAAATAAAGGTTCCTCTTCATGCTGTGATTGAGTGATATCTGGCATATTTGGACATTTTGTATAGCAAGAGGAGTTGAAAATATACGGTCATTTGTTTTATGACTATCCCTCTCTGGGAAATTAACCAAAAATGTAGGTAGGCATAAGTTACACCAGGAAAATTCTTAAATCTTCAGATGTCATAATTCCTTTATATTTCAATGGCTCTGTTAATAGTATCCCAAGAATCAGAAAAAAGTAAAAGTAATTAAGAGCAGGAAGGAACTCAGTGTTCATCCCCAAAAGGAATAAGTTAATTATTGAAAGCTATACAACTACAGTAATACAGGAAGGTAAGACTTAACACCTAGGTCTTCTTAGTTTCAACCCATGGCTCTTTTCACTACAGAGGCCATGCTGCCTCTATATTAAATCATAATAAAACATGAAAATGAAGCCATTGTTAGTAATGAGAAAGCATAAGAACTCAAGCTCTCAAAGAATGTGGATAAGAACAGAAATAAATATCTGCCTTAAAAATTTCCCTACCTTATTTTTTTTTGCTCCATTTGTAATAGTTTGAAATATATTTGGTGGAGAAAGCTTTTTCTTTCTTTCTGATCTTCGAGGTATTGTTATATTAAGTCTTGGAGTTGCAAGTACAATTTTACATGTACTGTTCATGGAACACAGAAGATCTGTCTCTCTGGATATTGGTTTTTCATTTCCTTCCTTAGTTTCTTGTTGTGAAGTCCCTTCTGTTGTCACCTTACTCTCAGAAACCATTAACTGACTGCCATTACTAGTAGGAATACAATTAGTACTGAGAGTCTCAACAGTACTATTTTGGGATTTTTCATAGGCAGAATCAATACTTTCTAAAACAAATGTTCCCTTTATGGACTTAGTGGTTGCAACTGTATTCTCTTTTGAGTGAAAATTTTGTTTAGCTGACTGAGCTCTACCTAATGAGACTCCTGCAGCTGAAATATTTTCATGTTCTTGCTTCAGAATTAGAAGTTCTGCAAAAAATAAACAACAAAAGTTATAGAAGGGCCACATGAAATTAAAACAGAGAGAAATAAAATAGTCAATTTAAAACTATATATACTAAAAAGAAGTCCTCAAGTTAGGAATATTCCACCCTCCTATGCAGTCTTTCTCTGAGTGCTCCTGGCTTTTAAGATTCAAGCTTTTATCCCGTCAATGCTTATTCCCCATACAGTGAAAATACTTATCCAGAACATACAGCAATACATTCGAGTTAAAAACTGAAAAAAAAAAAAAAACCAAAAAGCACTTTACCGTAAGTTAAATTGTGCAGGGGTCCCTTCTTTTCTTGCTGATGTTGAATCTTCTGTTTGACTGGAAAGAAAATATTATTTAAATATTATTTTAAATATTTGATGAGTCTAGAGGAACTTCCTTGACTGGGGTTGAGTTTTTTTTTTTTTTTTTAAAAGAAAAGAAATGGAATTGTATTAGTTACTGAAAAAAAAAACAAATGTATTTTCAAAATCTTGGAATAGATACACTTAGTTCAGTAATGATCGGATGAGCATAGCATATCTTTTAATACATGACATCTACAAAATTTTTCCCTTTATTACTCTCTCATGCCTTCATCCCACTATGTACACCTATGTTACACAGATAAATAATTTTTTTTTTTTATTTCTTCATGTTACAACTTGCCAGCTCTAGGCAAAAGTTATTACTAAACTTGGAAGCCTGGAGATCTGGAATATAACTGTGGTGCTGGCAAAAATCAGATATGTAACCCAGAATAAGTCAAATGACTTTTCTGGGCCTATTTCCTCATTTGTAAAATGAATGGCTTTAGTTAGGGTTATATATGAGGTGCCACCCAGTCTTGAAAATTCTGCTTCTGGTTACTGTAAACTCTAAAACACAAAAAGTTGAATAGTTATAACTTTAAATAACAAAAAGTTGAGACCTAACAGCATACTCAACCTTAATTTATACCCGTTTGACATTTCTTTGTGGGAGCCCTGGTGGCACAGTGGTTAAGAGCTTGGCTGCTAAACAAAAGGCTGACAGTTTGAATCCACTAGCCACTTCTTGGAAATCCTACGGGGCAGTTCTACTCTGTCCTGTAGGGTTGCTATCAGTTGGAATTGACTTGATGGCAACAGGTTTGGCTTTTGGTTCACATTTCTTTAGCAGGCCTTCAAAGGCACAAAAGTGGTAGGTTTATCAACCAGACAAATAGGGTCTAATAGTGTTCTTTACAGTTTATTCTGCTTTATAGCCTAGGTCTTTAAAGTTTATGTTTTTTGAATACAGAAATGGGTTTCTTTCACAAAGAAAAGGGAAGATAATAGACTTAAAATTGACACCAGAGAAGAAAGAACTCAATTATTTTTTTGTTTAATTTCAAATATTATACTTGAAAACAACTGGTAATGATTATGCTTTAATAAGTAAGCACTTTGGTTTTAGAATCTTAACCTAAAGACTTTATTATAATGACATGTGTCATAAAAAGAAATGATAAGGTCATGGCTTCATGAGATATTCCAGGAAATTGGTCTAATAACGTGTTTAGTGCTTCTGTTCTACCTCCTAGTTCCTTGCATAGTGCCTGGGGTCTTAAATGCTTACAAGGAGCCATCCAAAGCACAGTAACTGGTCTCTGTTCGCTGAAGCAACAGACGAAGAAGGAGAGTCAGGAATAGGAGGAGGATATGGAATCTGTGGCTAATTGCCTCCATGAATAACTGCCTCCTTTGCCATGAGACTAGAAGAACTGGATGGTTCTTCTACCATTACTGCACATTTTGAGCAAAGATTCTATAGAAAAGTCCTGATCAAAAAGGGGAAAACGCAGCACAGGATTTCAAATTCCCATGGACTTCATAATTTCTGGAGTCATAGAGGCTGGATGAATCCCTGAAACTATTGCTCTGAGACAATCTTTAAACCTTAAACCAAAAATATCCCGACATCTTCTTAAAATCAAACAGTTAATTTAGCTTAACTAGTACAGTGACCCTATAGGACAGAGCAGAACTGCTCCACAGGATGTCCAAGGAGCGGCTCGTGGGTTCAAACTGCTGACCTTTTGGTTAGCAGCCATAGTGCGCCGTAGCTCTTAACCACTTCGTCACCAGTGAATGTTTGCCTTGAGCATTAGGCTTTTTCTATATGGGATCAAACTGACAAGAACAACTCAAAAGATTAAACAGGAGGCTTAGGGGGTGGTAAGTTTATATTAATGTAGGAGGAACAACTCAGAAAAGGAGGGTGAGAATGGGTGCACAACTCGAAGAATGTAAACCAATGTCACTGAATTGTACACACAGAAACTGTTGAACTGGTGTATGTTTTTCTGTGTAGTCTCAACAACAACAATAATAAAAAAAAAAAAAAAAGGTGATAAGTTTCTGTTTCTTCTTTAAGCCATTCTACTGGAAATGGCAGGGCAATGCAGTAAAGACAAATAAGGCCAAATCTCTACTTAGTCGTTAGATTCTATTCCTTCTCAACTACTCAATGACATCAGTTTTCCCCTCCCTATTGGATCATTCACCAATCATTAAAAACAACAACAATAAAACCTCTCTTAACCACACTGCCCATTATTTCTCTGCTCCCCTTTAGGGTGAAACTTCTCAAAAGAGTTGTCTATGTTCACCAGTGCTAATGTTTCTCCTCACATTCTCTCTTGAACCCTCTTGAATCAAGTTTTTGCTCCTACCACTCGACCACAATTGCCCTCATCAATGACCTCCAAACTGCAAGATCCAATGGTCAAATTCCAGCCTTCATCTTACTTGACTGATTGGCAGCATTAGACACAGCTCTTGACTCCTTCCTCCTTAAAACATTTTCTTCTCTTGGCTTCCAAACTATCACTCTCCTGGTTTTCTTTCTTCTTTGTTAGCTTCTCAGTGATTTTCACTAGTCTCAACTCTTTATTCTAACTTCTAAATATTTGAGTGCCCCAGGACTCAGCCCTTGAACTTTCCTCTTTCCACACTCAGTCTCCTTGATGATCTCATTTAATCTCATAGTGTTAAATACCATTTTGATGCTAATGATTCCCAAGTGTATTTTTCTTGCCTGGATCACTTCCCTAAATTCCATCTAATTTTTTTTCCAACAACCTACTTCACACCTACACTTAGATTTTTAGTAGACATATCAAAATTAACATGAAAAAACTTTAACTACTGAGCCCATCTGTTCTTCCTTCAGCCTTCCCCATTTCAGTTAAATCACTCTGTCCTTCCAGTTGTTAAGGCAAAACAAAACACACCCTGGAGTCATCCTTTATGTCTCACTTTCTTACATTTCACACCCAATCTAGGGCAAATCCTATGCGCTCTACCTTCAAAATATATCCAGAATCCAACAACTTCTCATCTTTACCGCTACCACATGGACCAAACTAACACCATCTCTCACCTGCATTACTGCAATAACTCTTTCCATTTCAAATCAACAGCCAGGGTGAATATTTTAAAAACATAAGTCATATCTAGTCATTCCTCTGCTCAGAACCCTCCAGTGGTTCCTTATTTTACTCAGAGTAAAAGCCAAAACTCTTACATTCACCTATAAGGCTCTACATTACCTGACTCTCTATAATCTACCCCTCCTCCCCAGTTCTGTCTACTTACTCCATGACACATTAACCTCATAACTAGAACTTAAACTTGTCAGTCATGCTCCTATCTTAGGGCATTGGTACCAGCTGTTCCCTGTCTAGATCATCCTTTCCCATTCCCCAAGATATCTACAAATATTACCTTTCAATTTTTTGACTCAAATGCCACCTTCTCATTTTGAAGCTTATCTTGACCACCCCATTAAAAATTACATCTCCCCTCTAATCTCCCCATCATCCTTACTCTACTTTTTTATTTCTATAGCACTTCTCTTCTTGGACTGTACTATAAAAATTACTTTCTTAATATGTGAATTATCTGTCTCCCTATCACCTGAATATGAGCTACACGAGGGCAGGAATTTTTGTCTATTTTGCTCACTGCTGTATCCCAAGCATCTAAAACAGTACCTGACACATTAAGCACTTAAGACTTTATAGCTTTTTAAACAACAAATAATAAAACTAACCTTTTAGTGAACTGTTAACTGATTGTGATGGTTGGTTGTTTTCCTTTTCTTCACAGACGTAGGTATGCTTCAGTAGTCTTTTCTCAGCTCTATTAGGAGTCAAGATTTTATTACTTTCACTTTTCAGTGGTTCCAACAAACAATTGTTTCTTGATGCTTGTTCTTGCTTATCACGCAGTACTTTTTCTTTCATTCTTTGAAATATTTTTCCTGGTGATTCATAATTTTCTCTATTTTTTAATCTATCCTTGTTGGGCTTTATAACACTGATATCAAGAGAACTGTTAGAGACGGTAGCCTCTGCTAGCACAGTAGACTGAAATATTTCTTTATTATTAAAAGTTGCCATTTCTAGGAACTGATTCTTTTTACGGTCATTTAATTTTAAAGAAGATTTCTGATATCTCACCAAATCTTTTATAGGAGTAAGTGTGCCTGAAGGAATGCTGTCAAAAAAGATTGCATGCATAGACATATTTCTCCTTTGAGATGCCTCTGAAGACAAGTGAATTCCTGGATGTTTCACTGGTGTTGCAATCATCTTGATAAAACAGCAGCCACAAAGTTCTTCTAACAAAAAAATCCCACAAGCACAATTTTCAGAATAGAAATTCAGTAGGGGCCCAGAAGAACCTGTAGTTGAATATAAAATCAACCTTTATCATGCTTTGGTAAAATTTAAATATTATTTGCTTTCTATAACAACATATATACTAATAAAAGGCTTAACTGGTTCATAACAACATTGGATAATGCATAGCTCACATTGCATTGGGCAAATCAGCTACAAAAGACCTCTATAAAGTGTTGAAAAGCAAAGATGTCACTCTGAGGACTAAGGTATGCTTGACCCAAGCCATGGT